TTCCTCCACTTACTCCCTCACCTTCACCGCAGAAGTCACAACATTTAGGCATGTATGTATCTGGATTTACACATTAGTGACACACTTGCTAGGAGAACAGAATTGAAACAAAGTTTTTGTAAATATCTATTGTTAGGGAAAAATGATTTTTAAGAAATAAACTACTTTACTTTCTTCAAGCAGTTAAGGCGACAAAGAATTTGGATCAATTTCCAACTGCTTACCAGTTATTCAAGAAGTGGACAAGTGAACTAAATTAACCCATGATTCCATTAGAGCATGATCAGAAATCAAAGCTGACCTTGCCCCTAGGCAAAAAGAGTTATTTTATGAATTTACAACTAATTAGCAACTAGAGGGATTTTTGAATGAACAATGAAATTGGCAGATTTAATAAAAATCACAGGTATTACTGTGTCTTTACTTAATTTGGTGATAAATGATGCACAATTACAAAGTACTCAATTACTACACCAAGTTAATATTTTAAATTACATATATGGGAAAATTTCAGTTTAAAATGCCAACAAATTCACATGCAACCTGCTGTGCAGCAACTGCGGCGACAAATGCAGCAGTGTGAAATAACATGCAGATCCATCCAAAACCAGTTACATAAGGAAGAACTTTTTCTCTCAGAGAGTGGTCAGGCACTGGAATGGCTGCCCAGAGAGGTGGTGGAATCACCATCCCTGGCAGTGTTCAAAAGGCATCTGGATGACGTGCTGCATGATATGGTTTGGTGCTAGTGGTGGCAGTGGTGATGAGGAGACAGTTGGACTGGATGATCTTGTAGGTCGTTTCCAACGTTGTTATTCTATGATTCTTTGATTCCTCAACTAGCCCTGCGATTTGCTAAGCAGACCTATCATCTCATGAGCTTCATCTTTAAAGAACTTACTGGAATGCTCACCCTTGGACACTTTCAAATAATCAAACATAATGAGAAAACAGAAACACTGATTAACAGATACTGAATGACCAAGAAAAAAAAAAAACAAAAAGTGAACTTAGGTAGTTCAGTGTATGTAGTTTACCTTTATCTATTTTGTTTTTACTATTTTTATTAAACTTAAATCTCTTCAGAGAACAGTGACCAATTCACTCTTCAGCATAATGGTAACAACCTGTCTGAACAGAGAACTTGTGTTTCAGGAAATCAGTGGGCTAGAAAACAGCAACAAGAACAACGCTAAGACCCATTATCATAGCATCATAGAATGGCCTGGGTTGAAAAAGACCATGATGATCATCCAGTTTCAACCCCTGCTATGTGCAGGGTTGCCACCAGCTGACCAGGCTGCCCAGAGCCACATCCAGCCTGCCCTTGAATGCCTCCAGAGATGGGGCATCCACAGCCTCCTTGGGCAACCTGCTGCAGTGGGTCACCACCTTCTGTGTGGAAAAACTTCCTAATATCTAACTTAAACTCCCTTGACTCAGTTTAAAACTATTCCCCCTTGTCCTGTCACTATTCGCAGTCGTTAACAGCCATTCTCCCTCCTGTTAAATGCTCCCTTCAAGTACTGGAATGGCCACAATGAGGTCTCCCTGAAGCCTTTTTTTTTTTTTTTTTTCCTCCAAGCTAAACAATCCCAGTTCCCTCAACCTTTTGTCACAGGAGAGGCACTCCAGCCCTCTGATCATCTTATTGATGATCAGAGCCGCGCTGCCTGCCTCAAATCACCTTTTATCTCATATGTGCTTTAACAATGCTTCTAGAAGGATCTGCTCCATGATCATCCCATGCACAGAGGTGAGACTTAGTGGCCTTCAGTTCCCTGAGTCTTTCTTTCTCCCTTTCTTAAAAATAGGAGTAATATTTCCCTTTTTCCAGTCACCAGGGACTTCACCAGACAGTCATGATTTTATGATGGAGAGCAGCTCGGCAACCACACCAGCCATCTCTTTCAGAACCCCACGATGGATATTATCCAGCCCCATGGACTTGTACACGTTCAATTTCATGAGGAGGGACCAGACTTGTTCCACTGTTACAGTGGGACAGAAACCACTCCCCACACCCTCACCTCAGGGTCCTAGTAGACATGGGAAGCCTGACCACTTGTGAAGACTGAGGCAAAGCACTCATTGAGTACCTCAGCTTCTTCTATGTCTGAGAAAGCCAGCTCCCCATTATCTTCCATGAGAGAGGGAGCACTCTCCTTGGCCTGTCTCTTTCTGCCTATGTACCTGTAGAACCCCTTCTTCTTGTTTTTCACATCTCTTGCCAAGTTCAGCTCCATCTGTGCCTTGGCTTTCCTAATCCTATCTCTATACACACGGACAACAGCTCTGTATTCCTCCCAGGCTACAGGACCCTGCTTCCACTTCTCTTCCTCAGACTGTACCATGTCATCATACTACAAGAGTTTAAACTCTTTGTAGAAAGAGGGCTCATGTCACATCTCTGTAATACAGAAATTAAAGTTTCAAGACATGGAATAATGAAAAACAAAGGTTTATTTCAAACAGTGCATTAGTTAAAAGGTTCTACTGACCATATAAGAAAAAATTAAAATTATCTTACTGTACACTTTGTGCTTGTTCTGACTCTTAGGGTGAATTCTGATGAGAATTCTAAATCAGGAATAGATGCAGTATTACAGTCAATACGCTGTTGAAAAGAATAAAACAATTGTCAGATAACAGTGCTTAATAGAAATTGAGACAGCTCTTTGGATGATTTTTACAGGTTGTACAGTTACTTTCATATACAGACATCTCTGTAGGGCAGTATTAACACAGCTTTTTAAAAACGGAAGAGCCAACTATACATGCACACTGACCAAGCACCTAAAGATCCTTTCTCCCAGATGTCAAATTCAATAGACAGTGAGGAGTAATAGATTGGTACTAGGCACTGTAGCTCACCGCATTCAAGAAAGTTGCTTTTAAGTAATGCTGACAGCTTTGCATAGCTGACATTAAGCATCATTCACAGTTATATATATGGGTATCCTGAGCAGCAGCTTGAGCAATCTGGGCCAACATTCAATCATCCTCTCATTAAAAATAATGAAATTCCTCATATTTAAGTGGAATTGCATTGTGCGACAGATTCAGCTCTCATCAACTTCATCCTCTTGGATCACTAGACTTCAAGTACACCCAGCTTGCCCATGTGCTCAGGAGCCAAGACTGGCCTGGTGCTCTACCATCAGGCTTCCCAAGACTGACAAGAGTAGGCTTCCATCCCTTGGCTTGTTAGCAGCAGCCTTCTAGTGCATACTGCAAGGCTGTCATCTGACAGCCTTTGCTGCAAGAGGGCGTGGGGCTGATCAGCTTAGGCTTAATCAGGACACTCAGTTGTGTTTCCACAAAACTGCTTTCCAGACAGTAGGTCCCAGTCTGCACTGGCATAGGGGTTATTCCTTCCCACTGCAGGACTTTGCATTGACCTCTGATGAACTGCACAGAGGACGATTGGCTCCTTCCTGCAGCCTAGGGAGGCCCTCTGCTGAACAGCAGAACAACCATGGAAGCATCAGAATGTGAAGTAGGTGTGATAGAGAAGGAAAACAGGAGGTAGAGAACAGCTTGTGTCTTTTCATATAGTCATAGAACAGCATCCAGGATAATTATGATACTGTCAGATCCAATTGCAACCTGCATTTCAAAGTTTTTTTTTTTAATTTTACTTTAAATATGTAAGTATCAAATACTTGAAGTTCAAAAAAAAAAAAAACAAAAAAAACAGTTTTCAGTTAATAAAAAAAATCCACAAGTGGCATTGTAAGAAGTTCCTTAGTCCACACACCCAGCTAAAATGCCTTACATTATATATATATATATAATATATCATGTATAATATTATATAATATTATATACTGTTGACAGAAAGCACTTCATACATTACTAGTGAGTTTTTGTTACCTTGTTTTTCTTTAGGAAATATCATTCTTCCTGAAAATTACATTATAAACTATTCAAAACAAGAACTAGCTAATATGAGAAAGCACATTAAGACACTGCCTGTAATAAGCTAGTGATGAATTTTTAATCTTTCTCTCAAAAATACAATCTATTTGTTTTGTAGAATACTATTGATTGAAACAATTTACCTATAAGGCCACTTTCGCTCAACTCATTAATTTTACTATTTCCTACTGTAATTTCAAGCAAACAAGCACATACATTGACTACAGTCTATTTTAAAAACCATGACTGTTACCAAAATAAGTAAGTACAAAACCATTAAGCAGAGCCATTATCTTAAATGCTGTACAATGTGAAAGTTTGCTAAGCCCATGCAACTGTGCTGGCCAGTGACTGCTCATAATTATATATAAATTAAAAGGGACATGTGTATTGACTATGAAGATAGCCTGGTAAAAACAAGCTCAGTTAACAAAATCTAAGACATCTATAATGACTACCATCTACAAGGAAAGAACCCTGAAATTAAACAAAAGAATGAAGAAATGTAGAGGAAGGTCAAAATTAGTTATTCCCAGGTATTTATACAATCTGGGAGAAGAACCCCTTGAGAGGTCCATATTAAAGGGATTATCAGTCTCAGCACAGCTATTTTTGTTGAAGAAAGCCATAGATAACAGTGAATAATGCTGCAACTCAAGATCTTCAAAGCTAGCTAACTATGCAGACATAGCTAAGGAATCACCCTGTAACTCCATGCAGTAACTTAACTGAAGAGGGAAGGAAAGTAAAATGGAACTCTGTTGTTCTGTTAGTTTTTCTTTTCCACTTCAGTTATGCAACTTGTACCTTATTGAAATGCAAGTAAATTTCATTCTTGATAGAGGAAAATATCATGTTTAGATGGTTCTATCCTACAAGACATCTTTATGGTCTTGTTTAAACTTGGAAAAAAAAAATAATAAATATGGTGCCATATAGTCTCAACATCAAGAACCTTATAGCATTTACACAATTTTTGATATGCCAAAGTGTGTCTACATATCTGTTCTCTTCTCCACAAATAATAAAATGGAACTTATAGTCTGACTACTGAATATTCAGAAGGATCTGGTACGTACCTTAATTATGCTGGTTTCAGATATAAGAGTGCTTGGATCCAGCACCTCCACAACAGCTTCTGGAATTACAGCTTTCTTCATGCAAGACATGTCAAAGCCATATACATCCTCCCAGAAAAGTAGCTTTTCTGTATGTTTATTCATATCTCCTACAGCTACTAGACTGATGGTGCAAATGTCAGGATAAACTGCAACAACAACAAACAGATGAGTGAAATTTTATTTTCAGGCATGCATAATTCCCTTTCTAAGTGATTAACATTTAAAAAGACAAAAACTTTTTTCAGTTCTTAGACAAGATTTTTTCTGCTGTTTTCTTTTCTGCGTATGTCCACAGGGGAGACTAGACACTTTCCCCACACTACTCTGATAACAATATTTACTCCTTAGGAGAAAATCTCTTTTAGCCAAACCCCACTGTCAGGACACAAATGGAAATTTTCATGTTTGATGAAAATATTTTGGAACATCCTATTCTGGCTTCCAGAGACTGCACTGAAATACATTTGATAATTCCTAGATAGATACGCAAAATCCAGATAAGGAATCTGCAGTAGCAAGAAAAGACCTTATTTTCAGTGAAGAGCAAATATTTTCACTGAGGTATTTGGTTCCTATTTCTTATTGTGTTCAGCTGATACATGCTTTACAATCTGAAAATGACTTCCAGACACCCAAAAATAAGAGAAACTTCTAACTCTAACCAAACAGCATGACAGGAATGACAGAAGACAACCCCCTCACCAATTCTTCCCCCCAGTTTTACATCAATATCTATCATTCTTGCATTATCTTCACATTTGTGCTCTCCTCTTGCAAGAATGTTTTTAGAAAACCCATCTATTCACAGCTTTTCCAAACAGTAGTGGAAAGTTGACATTTGCCTTTTCAAGAGCTTCCTACAGGAAAGATAATCAATTCCTTACCCACTACTGATTGGAAAAGACAGGTAGAACAGCTGCTATAAATATGGCTGTCTAAAGCATTATCGAATACTAAGAGAAGCCCATTTTAAAGCTAGTATTAAGTTAGGCTTCCTTCCACAAATAAAATTCCCATTTGCCGTTAGAGCTTTAAAGGCTTCCAAATCACACAAATTAGTGTTTTTTTTTTTAAATCTGGCTTTAGAACAAAATGCTTCCTATTAAGCACTTTTTTTTTTTTTTTTTACTGATACATCAATGTGATGGCGTTAATAAAACTAAAGCAAAGTTTTTCTTTTACTCCCCAAAAAATCTAGTGAACTGTAAAATGAATTTTATCTTCAGCTCTGCTTGAAATTGGCTTACCCGAATGAGCACAGGGGAAAGCACTGGTCAGAAAGGCATTACTTTTTTTGCCTTGAAAAATACTGAAGATAGAAATAGTAAACTAGAATTATCCTGTTGTACTGTGAGAGTATGTTTAACATAACCAAAAACATCTTTTGCATGTTGTAAAGATGACTGTTCTTTAAAGAAGCTATTTCTCACATGGAGAGATTAAATTAGAACAAACAATCACATGTACATTTCAATCTACTAGTTTATGCAAAATATGGGCACAACGTCATTTTTCTCACATTCTGACTAAAACAGAATAATAAAAATCTGCAAGCTTAAACTGGAATCGCACTGGTGAACTATCATCCTCACTTTGCAGATGAGAGCTGAAAACAGAAGGTTTTTCCATGGACAGCCTACAATTAACTCAGCAGTAAGAAGATAATTCGATGAGTATCAAAATAGGAAGATGTTCAAACTGCCTTGTTTGAAACAAATTGTTTGGTTCAGCACACCTAACAGCTGTCACACATGCACAAAAATCAGTATCGGGTGTTGAAGTATCTGAAAGTAGCTTTCTAGAGCCATCAATAAGGGATTTATACTTCTCAAAGCTTTCATATTGCTGCTTACTAGTGTGAGAACTGCATTACATGCTGTATCACCAAGCATTCCAAACCTCCAAGAGCAACCACAGGCACTCCAGAAATTAAAACACAACTTTACACAACAACATTAAGTGACTACAGGATGCAAGGAATGCAGTGAAAGCATACAAGAGAGGTGAAAGAGGACCCAGATACAGAAAATACTTACAGAAATGTAGAGAAACTACATACAAAAATGACAGCGAAACATGGACTATTCTATAACATTCCTTCCTTAGACTAGCTTGCATTTCCAGCATGTTCTCTTAAGGGAAAAAGTTTCCTATCAGACTTTATTAAGTCTCTTTATCTACATAACAAATCCTTTAATCAGCAGTGAAATGTCTTCGACCACATAAAGTACAAGCAAAAACAAAACAAAACAAAAAAGGTAAACACTGCTGCCCAAGCCTAATTGATAGTTCTTGTTCATTCCATCAACAGAACAACAACAACAACAAAAAAAGCCAGACTAAGCCTGTTCTGACTTCCAAAAAATAAATCTGAGCTCCATAAACAAGTCGTGGGCAAAAGATGACAGTGATACACCAACTGCTAAATTTGCAGACCCAATCGCATCCGGAAGCATACACTGTATTGAAGTTTGACTGGGAACGTAAGCACATTATCCAAGTATCATCCTAAATCATGCTAAAACAGAAGAATTTTGTCAAGGTTTAAAAGCATCTCCTTCAACCTGCATTGCCACCATTACCCCTGATCCTCCAAAAGTCTCCTGCTTTTTCTGCAGCTTTGTAACACCTTCCTGTGCAATCTTGACCGAGTTGTCATTTTTTCCCCCTGATGAAAGCTATGATTCAATAATTATTCCTTCTCAAAGATGAGCTGACCAAAATGCTGACTGGACAAAAGCACATGCTCCACCGTGCTCTCAGATTCATCGCTTTGACATCTGTGTCCTTCTCGACTCAGTGCCTTGAAGTCATCTGTCACTAGTAGCAGCTCACGTGGTGAACAGTACACAATGGGAAACCCTTTCTCCCTTAGCAATGCCTCACAAATTTCAGGATGCTGAAGGGTAAGACAGTAGTCCCCTGGATATGCAGAAATAATTCCAAGTGAATACACCATCTTTTTTATACGAACGAGTGATTACATTTTGAACTATACCTTCCTTGCCTATGTCACTCCTAACTGATGTGCACTGCACTCAAGTACATGGAAAAAATATGCACTCAAGCAAATAAACAGCTTTGAAGAACGAACAGATGGGTCACAGGCAGCAAGAATTTTATGTTCTCAAATAAAACTATTGCATACTATACACATTACCCTAGACAGTTTGGCATAATCTGACTCAGTATGCCAATAGGTTAAGCTGAAGTGGCTATGATATGACCAACTGGACACGTATCTGGGAATCAGGGTTCTCCTCTTGCCTCAGTCACTGATGGATTTGGCCAAGTCACAGCTGCTCCTACTGCTTTTCTCAGCTTGCAAACAGCCCCTATAAATAACCATTTTGGTTTAATAACTCTAAGAGGCTTCAGACAGAATTAATCTCTATGGCAGAACTCAGGAGTTTCTCTGTTAAGATGTTAAGTACTGGATGAGCTCTCAGTTTCAGCTCATTCAAATTTGGATGTGCCCACACTGCTGCTGCTGTACATCTATGCTGCAGAAGCACCGGTTTTGTTAAACTGATCGTTGAGCAATTTTGGCACAGATCTTCGGCACAGCCATTTACCTGCTATGCAAACTGGCAGAGCAGTAACAGCAAGCATCTTAAGCATTCTGTTTAAAACCTGACAGTACCAGTCTGGTACTGGAATACAGTATACCTAGTAGCAAGAGTCAGCTAAGAACCCAAGATCATTCTGAGACCACAAAGGTTAAGCGTACTACAAAAGCATCACACTCTCTCAAATGGAAACCGTTGAAGCTCAAGCCACTAGCAAATATGCCAACAATACAGAAAGATCCTAGAGAACAAGATTCTATTATAGTTTCCACAGAGGTCAACAATTTCTGGCTCCATTCAAAAGGCTGTGGAAGTACTAGCTAAGAATAAAGTGATTCCTTACTATTTTAAAATATGTCCTCAAATTTAATAATTACACTGTGATGTAAAATGATTAGCATATACCTACACAGAGCACATTACAACTGCGCTCCAGATCTGGCTGAAAAGAAAAATGCTTTTATTCTGTGTCAAGTTGTTCAAGAGGCTTCTATTTTCACACATGAACAGTAATCTCAACCAAATGTTAAACTGCATTAAAAAACTGCTTCTTTTCTTCTGCACTCTGTAGCATACAAAAGCTTACTGCAATCAAAGTGAAGCACTGCAGCGAGCACTGTTACACAGTCATTAATCCAATCATTAAGGCAGCCTGGTGAAACTAACTATGCGCATGGTTAGCACAACTGGGGGGAAAAAAACCAGACTGATGGCTATGATTGAAAAGGTCAATATGAAATACAACATTGACAAAGGAATCAACTGAAAGGAATAAAGCATAAGCAGAGCACAAGACCACCTCATGCACACTAAATATTTACATTATCAACTATTTAAACATTGCTCAAGATGACGCTATCTAATTTACTTAAAAGGACAAAAGAACTCAATTTCAAAGTGAAATATTTTTCTTCTGTCACTTCCCCACCTCTCCAGCCAAAAAGTCCATTCCTACTGGCACAGGATAAAAATTCTGAACAGAACCAACGGAATTCCATTGGTTAATTCATAATTTTTAGCATATGAAACCATATGTCTTCCCCACACTTCCACTGCCCTAGAAAGCACTCTATCCACTTTTCCTTTAATTCACCATCGTGAATTCTTCATTCTAGATGTACCTTACTGAACAGTGCTACATCTTAAAGAATAAAACCTCTTCTGTTTGTAGTTTTGCAGAAACTGATATTTAGAGAAAGGAAAACAAATGCAATCTTTTCTGATCGCTGCTATTTAGCTTCATGTATTTTGAAAGGTTTTAAACCCAGTGCCCTAATTTGATTAAAAGACATTTATACATCTGTATTTGTCCAGATAGGCAACACTCATTCTTCAAATCAGAGGATCTGGGGGAAAAAAAAATTAAGCATTTCTCATTGAAGTATACAGCTTGAGGTTACCATCCAAATCCTTCAATTAAGGAAAATAATACCTCAAAACATAAAAGTGTACTCTTAAAATGAAGTTTATTTGCCACTGTGTTTCTTTCTTCCCCATCCACAGGGGTATGTGTGGAAAGAAGTAGGGAGGAAAAATTTAGGCCATGCTTAAGAATAAATAACCCCTTCAAATCTTAAAAACACCATTAACATGAGACCTTGATACCCCACCTAATGCTCTTCTACTATCCACACAGTAAATTAATGCCTTGAAGCTCATGCTAATGGAAACATTTTTCATTTAGACTGGCAACTTTCTCATTCATGCATAGCTTATTCCAAGTCTCCGAGTTCTCCGAGTTAATTTAGTTTTCCCTCAGAGCTAAATTTATTAAAAGAATTATGCACACCAACCTGAGCCTCCCTCTGCCAGGTACTTGTCCTTTGCATAGATGACAGAATCCAGCATAGACTCAAAGAGAAGGAAATAACCCTGTATGCACACAAGGGAAAGAATTTTAGAAGTCATTACAGTTCTCATTTAGCATACTTAATAATACAGACAGACTCACCAACACGGTTTGAGATTTTTACATGTCCACACTGCTTGCTAAGCGCCAGCACCTAAAGAATTTCTCAGTAGCGCCATCACTTCGAACCTCATGAGATAAACACCCCCACGCTACACATACCTTAACATCTAATCAATCAACAAACTGTAGGCAATAAATATCCACCTAAACCAACTTCCTGAGTTCCAAAACGTCAAATTCACCTTCAATCCCAAGTGAAAAGCTCTAAGTATTATTTTATAGCAATAACTCACAAAAGAAATTCTTTTCCTACTGCGAACCGCAAGCAGCGTTAGAACTATCGCAATGTAGGAAGTCACTGAAACACAAAAGGAATGCATCTTTGCTTCTTGACATTTGCAACCTAGTGGTACCCTGCACCAGACTGGACAACGCTCAGAAAGATAGGTGGAAATGAATCACACTGCAAATACATGAGGTTCTCTGAATGGTCTGCATCATACAACAGCACCAGAACTTAAAATGTTCTCAGGATAAAATTCCTGAGTGCAATGTTTGCTTAGTTTTTTTTTGTGCTATGGTTAATTTTAGAGAAGGTTGTACTCTACAGCATAGATTAAAGCAGAGAATACCACTCTAGCCAAGTAGAGCAGCTTATTGTAAACTTCCCAGATTTTCAGTCAGGCATTTTCTGAGCGCACAAGATAGAGAAGAGCATTACACACAATTAATATTTCAAATAAAACATTAAACTGCAACTACTTGTAAGTCAAATCCAAATTTCAAAGAGACATACAGCCAAAAGTTTTGCTACCATCCTGTCTCCAAGTTTGAATATGATCTCTGCTGAATAGTGCAGCGCATTTCATTCACATTCTTATGACATCAAATAAATTCAGACAAATCCAACCAGGATACACTTTGCTTTTTCGCTTCAAGCAAAATCCTTACTTTTGCTCGTAACACAGCTTAACCATGTGGCTTGATTTGTACAATTGACTGACAATAGAGAAGAACAAAAAAGAGAATGGAAAGTCCAGATTTCAGACTTGCAGTCCTACAAGGTCAAACAGCAGGAACCAAGCAAATCTGTAAAGACTGCTTTCCCTTCTCTCACCCTTCCAACAATTCTATATTTCTACAGCCACTGTTTTTTTGCCCTTTTGTTCAATAAAAGAACAGTTGGAAAACTACAGAAATGTCCTTTTCTCATCCTATTTCTAAGATGACAGTGCTCTACAGGATACTTTTCATCCAAATGCTGCCCTCTCTTCCACTTTATTGCCTAACTTTCACAAAATCCTTAGAGTGAACCCCAGAACGAACATTACTGCTTTGTGAGCAATACAGTCTTTTGTAAGCTTTGCAAAATGGTTGAAAAGGCCAGGGGCTCCTATTGCACCAGATTATTTTATGCTTTCAGCAAAGCTGAAAGCACAGACTGGAACCATAAAGCTCTTCTTAATTCTTGCCGTTCTAAAAATATGATGCATTTGGCTCATATAAATTCTTCTCATGCTTTTAAATGAAAATGTGACTTCAAAGACAAATCTTACAAATAGTTAACACCAACAGTCAGCAAGCTGCAAAGCAACATCTTAATGTATATCCATAAAGATAGATACAAAGAAGGATATCCACTTCTTTCTGTCTGAGATGCCCACTATCTACAATCTCTGGAAGATGCACCTCCTAACGAGCAATACAGTGAAATTCTCACAGTCCTTTTCCCAAACCATTCCACTCCAGCATTGCTGTTGTTCTTCCCCTTATCCCCAGTTCCATACAGCATTCTTGCAAATTGCATGAACTGTCAGAGGTACTGAATCAAGTCATTTATTACTTATACCAAAACATTTTGCCCTGTGCGCTGTGTTCAGCTGCAGTGTAATTTAGAATGTAATTTCACAGGCTGCTGCCTCACCTGTAGGGGTGCCATCTGGAGAGAGAACTACACTGGTTTTCTCCCCATGATGCTGTGGGGCAACATTCCTGCTTCCATGTTTCCACCTCAAAAAATGCTCAGTGTTTTGTTTGTCTGTTTTACTTCAGTATATACTGGCACCCTCAAGATTAATGAGCACAAAGATTTCTAGAACACAAAACTGTGAGTAGAATACTGATAATTTTATCTTGCTACTGGCTGAGCTAATAGGCATAAAAGACATCTTGTATGCCCCTTATATCCATATCTTGCATTTTGTAACAGGACTGTAAAACAGTCCGAGAACTTGGATAGCTTAGTATCCTGTATTGTTACATTTTCCTTATTATTCAAATAGACAACATCATTCTAAGGTTCACTTCTATTTAATTCAATACATCGTAAGTATAAGCAGCTCTTTCATTGGTGAAATCCAGATACAAATCCAGATATATCCAAACAGTGGTATTAGCATGCTTAGATCAGCAGAAATTTCTAGAACTTTTACTACAGCAGAGAAAAAAACCCCACGCAGCAAGCACAGAACCAAGAAACAATATTTACCTACATGCCTACTCTATGATATAACAAAAAAAAAGCAAAAAATGAACAATACTTCCTGTTGTATCCTTGAACTCATGCAAGATGAGCAAGAACATCAAAAGAGCAGATCTGAAGCGTGCAAAGTGACATTCGCTATTAACATAAGAAAATAAAACACTCTTTCAAAATAAAAAGAAAAAACACCAAATAAACACAACACTGCAGAGAAATCAAAGTACTCAGGCACTTAGTACGCTTCTCACACAGAATTAAAAGAAATAAAATCTTAAGTAAACTTGAAAACTATATTTTTATTGTTTTATAGGAGTAGAACACCTCAACATAGAATATGAAGACCACACAAACACTAGCAAGTGTTAGAAAAAACAAAAAACCAAGCACCAGCACTGGGTGTCTACATAGAAACAGCGGAAAGGAGCAAGGGTTGATAAGATTGCTTCCAGTATTTCAGACACACTCACTTCGTAGTACTTTTCCCAAGATCCAGGCTACCTCTACTCACAAATCACATTAATATCATTTCAAAATTACATAAGACAAAACAAGAAAAGGGTTATTAGCTGCCTGAGCAACATGAGCACTAGATGCCATTTTTGATTTTAAGAATCCGATAAGAATCCGATTGTTTCCCAGTTTTTCCACTCTTAAGATGACACTGCATGTTCAGTATCATACAGCACTACGTAAACCAGCAATGTATGGCAATGCAGTGTTCTGACATTGAATTTGAGACAACCATCTCAAACCCCCTACCATTAAAACCTGAGGACACTTGATAGGGGGATAAATATTTGAGAGGGGAACAAGTCTCTCAATCTGTACCTTCATATTCCTAGCTGCAGAAGCAGAAGCACTGACTGGAAACAAAACAACTGTAAACAGACCCAGCTGAATAACAGCATTCTAGAAAAACACTGTATTTTTTGTTTCTATCCTTTCAATGGGCTGCCTGCAAAGCTTATGATTATACAGCCAGACTCCACACGTGCAATAACACAGCCACATTCTGTACGCTGATAGCAAATCTTGTCCTGCCAAATATTCCATTTCACCAAAAACAGGCTTCAAGGACTTGGCACAGCAGCTCCTCTTTCAAATTTATTTATACTTTATTTGCATCTTTCCTTAGAAATTCATGTAAGCCTACAATTTGTGCAAGAAGAGATTTGTTTGTAGGTTTCCTAAGGTAAAAGCAGATAAGTAAAAACATAACCACTAAAACATAACTGGTAGTTTTACAACTTAAGGCTTCCAAAGCTTTGGCACGTGTGAACTCGAGACAATTAAGGAGGATGGAGCATCAGAAGCTTATAGCCCTGGAACAGATTATTGGGCAATCCTGTACAGGGAAACCTCTATGAAGGACACCAGCAGTGAGATCTGGTACAAGATGCACCCACTTGTACATTCAGTTTATCTCCAACAACCAGAAGACCTTGGTCTAGCAGAATCAGTTTGGTTAGCAGAACAGATTATGATTTGGCCATTCTTATCCACAAGCTAATATGGTTCATGATATGAACTGGCTTTTCAGCCCTCCCAGCCTACAGCACTCAAAGCACATGCATCTAGCCAATAATACTTCACCAGTGTTCTGCTACAAAGAACCCATAGCTGTCTTCAGAATGCAAATATCTAAATAGACGGATTTATCTGGGTATCCACTATTGTAAGAGGTCCTCCATCTTCAGCAGTCTTCCTTTCAGACACCAGCAGAAGAGCTTATAGCTCAAAACACATTCCACTGTCTTTCAGAACAGTCCGCATGCTGGTTTTAGTAGAATACAATTACACAGATGCCCTTATTGCCCAATTTTAATTTTGGTATATATACTTCAGATGTTACAAGTAAGTCACTTAGCTGTTACATCAAAAGTAAGATCACTGTTCACTGTCTGCTAATTCCTTTCACAGGCTGGAAAAAAAAAAGCCACAAAAGAGGCAGTTGCTCATGGTTCACCCTCTAAGCCTTGAACAAAACAAAACTGGATCTAAATAAATTTTCAACTGAAAAACATTATTTCAGATGATGACAAGTATTGATTTGAAATACTGTTTGGATTTGTCTGTATCTGACATACAGATACCCAAACTACTCATTACATAATATTTAAGATGGTTCTCTCATTTCTGTATATTCTAAGGGAATAAATGTAAAAATGGAATAGGTAGGAATAGCAACCTGTGGAAGTCACAGGTCACTTACACAAGTAGAATAATCACCAGAAATCACTGCAGTGAAGGTGCTCGTAAAGCAGTGCTGTACCTTTGATAACACACTCATGTGCCAGTTTTCTCAGAAAGTGCATTCTAGAAATATTCCTGCTGGATGCAGCATCTTTCCCTCCCTCCAGCCTCCATTCTATTGCTGCACACCTGCTTATAACTTCCTGATGCATGGCTCTAAAAAGCTTACAGAACTGGTCTTCAGCACCACTCTCTGCCAAGCAAAACCAAGCGATGGCTCCATAGCAGGGTTTAGTAATTGCTAGTGTAGCAGCTTGCTGGCTAAAAGCAGCAGCAAGTTTTCATATTTTTTGTTACAAAGAAAAATTACCCATTGAGGTTTCCCTGCTAGTTCATCCAGACACTCCAAACAAAAAACAGAAAACATGATATACTGAGATCCTTTTTGCTTCCATGCTTAGTAAGTACAACATCTTCAAGCAAGTGGTCAGTCAATTTTCAAGCACTTCTGTTCTCATATTAACACAAAATATTTCACACTGCTCAGAATCAGAGAGTGAAAAGAAAAAGCCAATTCACACAGTTGTGAAAATGGGGAACATGAGAAAGCCAGACAAAGAGGAATCTTCATTTGCATCTAGACAACATAAGACTCCTCTCTGGACAGTGTTGGAACTGTCTGTGCTCCATACCCAGCTATCAATCTTACACTCACAGCATTGTCCTCTTTATCTCCGTATTGCAGCAACCTATAAAAATAGTAACACCCCTAAATGTTTAGAATACCTCATTAAGTCAAGAGTACATTTATATAATTGTAACATTAAAAGCTAAATCAGCACCAAAATGGGAAACAGAGAACATCCATTACCTGATTTCTTACATGAAGTGTTTTACATCGTCCTCTATTTCACCTTAGAGGAATCCATTTACAACACATCTTAAGTTCTGGAGTGCCCAAATCATTTTCAAAAGCAAAGCTTGGACTCCAGAATAAAAAATATGCTCTTGAAAACATGATTCTGGCACATATATTAGAAACTGATCAGAAGTTTCCTCAAAAGAGCTATTATTGTTTCTAGTGAAGTCACTACGTTGTCAGAAATCACCAATCATAACACACTGGTTTTTAATCCACTACTACCACTACTACTCGTTTAAATCTTTACTGAAACAAGCAACCTCCACCTTAAATTCAGCTCATGCTTTACATAACATTCTTTACAGCAGTGGAACAAAACACACTTATAGTTTGCCAGCACATGAAAATACTTCAGAACAACTTATTTTCACCTTTATCTGGAAGTTAAGTACATACGGATGCACAGTGAACATGCCCAAAGGCCTCTCTGCATCTAGAACAGCCACACAAAAGAATTTAAGCTTTCATTACTGATCTTAATGAAAAATTCTTCTATCCTTTAAATTCAAATCCGAACAGTGGCAATTATTATGGAAAAACAACTTTTTTTTTTTTTTTAAGAGCTTTTTCAAGGTCTGTGACATAGGAAACTGAATTGTGGAAGTCCACAAAAAAAGTCAGAGTGCTTCCTCCCACACTTTTGACAATGAACAGACTAAACCACTATGTAATTCAGCCTGAACCTGGGTCTTGACAAACAGATTTCTTTATTAGTAGCAGTGCAAGGCAGCAAGCACAACTGTGTTTGAAAAAAAGCATATGAAAGAATGATAACAGTCCAGCACCTGAAATCAAACACATTCCAGGAAATGACCGACAGGAAATGCACTAAGCAGCATACAAATGATCCATTATCATCATCATGTACTTTTACAATCAGTTATTTCATTCATACACTAAAAACTCTGCAATCAGCAATAATGCTGTTTTCAAGTTCTCTCTCTTTACAGATTTCGCAGCATACATGCTCCTCTAATTCACTTTCCCTGTCTTGAGTTGTCTTCATGGACTTAAAGGCATTTTATTTATCAAAATGATCTAAGCTACATGACTAATACAAAACATGAAGTATTATCATAAGAGCAGCTTTAATATTACTATTCATGAGTATGGAATAGTTCCATAGATTTGCATGCTCAACTACGTAACTCCAACTTACTGGCTATATCCAAAACAGCTTAACTGTACCTACAGAACTTTGACCTGAAGTAACACGTACAACGAAGATGAAGAATTCTATTTGAATACCACATAATTTAAACTGTCATCCCACCTCCCAGGTTATGAAAAACACTGCTATAAGCACAATGTCTTGTTGGTTTAAGAAGTAATCCTTGAAGAAGAACTTTTCAGGCGTTTATAACGAAACAATGCATTTTTTTTCCTAAGAACAGCAATGCTTTGAAAAGAACATTCATATGCCTTACCATCCATTCAGATATAATTACATCCACTTTCTCCAAAGGCAGATCTACTTCTTCAATTCTTCCTTTGATTAACGTAATGGTATTTTCAAGTTTATTTAATCTGCAAGTCATAACATAAGCCAGTTAGTTTATATTTCCATTAGATGCTGTCAAGAGAGATATACTGATGTCTCTACTGAGCCGTTCTTCCCTCCTCCCCCCAAAAAAGGCTAAGAGGCAATATTATTCTTGTTAGTTATACTTCAGAGGGTATGTTACCAGAATGCCAAAAATTTCAGGACATTAAGCATCAGGCAAAGGTGGCAGACAGTACAACTGTGTACCTCCAACTTCTTGTGCATGCAAGCGTGCAGACTTCAGAACCCAGAACAGAAAAGCAGCCAATTTACAATTATACTCCTTTTTATTTAAAGTTGCTTGTTTCTAATTATCCTTCTTTGACCCTTGTAGTGTAAGTCTGCAGTGATTAGAGGCTACTCATCACACTAGGACAGAAATCGAAGTTAGCTTTGTACAAAGCTCTTCTGCACAACTGTGCTGTTTTGCTTTCTTTTATCATTTGAGGAAGCCAGCAGCAAAGCCACTGAGAACATTCCCATTTAGAACAATATTACAGTTACTCCATAACGAAGGCCTTGTCCTCGCTGTGGTTTTTGCCAAAATTATCTGCAATGTTTAATTATCAATCAGTATTACCTCACGCACAAGTAATGACACAAATATTCTTTCTGTATAAGGAAGGTATTTTTGAAACAAAAAACTCCATGACAATTAAATTGCTACATACCTCTAGCTAATGTTACCGAGAGCAAAAAAGTACTCCCAAAGAAATTTATCTATCCACTGTAGTTCCCATCACTGCCCCTTCCCCCCACAGCCTGACATCTCACTCTCTCACACCATCTGACTCTCAATGCAAATCAGTAATCACATTAAAAATTCCATCTAGAAGACAATAGGAGAAAGATCAGAAAAAAAGGAGGGAAAGGGTCAAAGGGCTGCTTGAACACGTGGGCTGTAAGAAACATCAATTAAATTCTGCACATGCGACAGCCTTCCCTTAGAAGAATAGCAGTTCACCACTAATATAATACTTAGTTTTGTAAACAGGAGTCAAAACAGAAGTTCAGAGGGAAAAATAAAAACAGAAATTAAAAGGGCTATCACTTGTATCAATATTTTAAGAGCAAAAAGGATGTAAAGATAACATTGTAAATGACACTGCACAAGGACACTATAAACCAGTACTCTTCCTCAGTATTAATTACATACTTAATTTCAATTGTAACATACAAAGAAGTTTACAGACTGTAGGAAAAACAACTTGGACACTATTTATGCACTCCACGTTGCAACTAATACTTAATATTGCACTTTTCTTAACCTGGTATTTATTTAACAGAAAAACGTTACAGCATCCAAGTGTGACATGTTGTGTCCCCACAGTTACACCTCAAGAACAATATTACTGTATCATTAAAATCCCATGAACTGTGATCCCCAAATTCCTCAGCAGCTATTTTTGCTTTTTATTTCACAGATGCTCTGAATAGAAAAAGCATTATTAACCTCAGTTATCAACAGTACATATTTTAGCCTACTTTTCCCATGCCTCAAACTCGAAAATCCTTAAGTGCTCAGGCACCATTCTTTTATTTTTACACAAACTCACAAGCCTCCAATATTATCCCAATAAAGGTAAATTAGTGAAACATTGAATAGATAAATAAACTATTACATGAGAGGAAAGCCTTCCAAACCATGAGATCTGAAAGAGTTGAGAAAAGTAATACAAAGTCTGACAGCCAGGTATCAGAGGTGTTCCTCAGGATTCAGTGCTAGATCTGATACCAATCGAGCAACCTAGACGATGGGAAAGAATGCACCCTTATAAAATTTCTGGATGGATCTCAACTGAGGAAAGCAGATGATAAATTAGAAGGGAGAGACTGTAGAACCAAGCTGAGAGGAACCTCAGCTTCACAAAGACAAAGACCACCTCAGCTGGAATAATCACAAAACAAGACAGATTGGTTCTTGAGGATTAGAAATCAACTCTGGTTGCTTTTCTCCACTCTGTTCTAACAAGGGGTGCTGGTGAACAAGATGAACGTGAGCAACCAGCACGTCCCTGTAGAAATAATAACCAGCTGTGTCATATACAGAAGATGGGAGCAGCAGCTCAAGGAACAAACATTTCCTATTTGACACTTGTGAAAATACACCTGGAGTGCAGCATCCAGATGGGAGACCTGCAGTACAAGACAGTGACATATGGGATTCACCAGGATAACCAGGGGCTGGAGCACATAACACTCAGGGAGAGACTGAGAAGTGGGTTTCCTTAGCTTTAAGAAGGAAAGGATAAAAGGTGAATATCCACTGCCTGCCCCTACCTAACATGAGGTTGAAGAGGTGACAAAGCTAGCCTCTAATATCACAAAGACTGGATGAGAGGCAGTGGACAAAAGCTGCAACCACAGAAATTTCAATTTGATATTTAAAAAATAAGAGGCTAGTCAAATAAGACATTTGCCAGAAGTTCAGACAGATGTGGCAATGTCCAGAACTTGACCAAACAATGTCTGAACCACCTGCTGCAGCAGAACCCGAACTGAATGGTGCCTAGACCAGATGTCCTTCAGGGGTCCCTTCCACTCTACACAATTGTGTGACAGTTTACATGGTACACATTGTATTTGTCGTTTTCACTGAAACATCTTTTCTTAGCAACCTCACAAATAGCATGCTGTATAGTGCTACTGAAATGGATTTTTTTTCCCCTCAAACTATAGAAAACAGAGTACAATGGTAATCACCAATTAGTGGGAAAAAAAAAAAAGAGCACTATGTTTCCAACTAAATAAAATGAGATAGTAGACTTTTATTACTCTCCACAAAGAGTGAGTCCCTTAAATATAGTAACATAGAAAATCTTACTAGAGAAAGGTTGATACCACATAATCACAAAATTTCATGTCTCTGTTGGTGTTAAAACTGGTGAAAATAGCTAATACATAACAGGTTGCACCGGGAGGTGGTGGAGTCACCTGGAGGTGTTCAAGAACAATTATATGCTGTACTAAGGGGCCAAGAACAATTATATGCTGTACTAAGGGGCATGGTTTAGTGGGGAAATACTGGTGGTAGGTGGACGGTTGCACTGGATCACCTTGGAGGTGTTTTCCAACCCTGGTGAATCTATGATTCCATAACAAGCTTTTTTTCATTTTTTTTTTTTTTCTTCTTCAAATCCACAACAGTTCCAACAGGAAGATCTAAATATATATATATGTGTATTTAAATGGACACAGTAAAGTGAAGCTTTCAATTTTCTGTAATCCACAAAATCAGCTTACAGAAATTAAAGCCTGTTTTAATCTTCAGATCAAAGAAGGACTTCAGTAAAAGACAAACCAAGTGATACGTGATCATTAATTAGGAAAAATATTTTAATAACTTTTTACAGCAATATTTACCATACGCTCTTTCCACAGCTTTCCTACCTAATGATGTCCATGGCTTGATAAATGATTTCAGATTGGTCTACTCCAATCACTTTCTTTGCACCTGCTTTGGCAGCAAACATGGAGAGTATTCCAGTTCCGCAGCCAACATCCAAAACAACCTGAAATGAGTAAGCAACATATTTTTGCTTCCATTTATTTCCTTTGCTCTGATTTTTCTACACACTCTTCTACACGTTCTAATGGAAGAAAAAAAAAAAAAAAATGTAGCATCAGATCTTCTTATTACATTCAGACATCCAAGTCAAATCACAATTGTAACTTCAGATCTCCTATAGGATCCTCTGCCTTTTACAGACTGGCAATAAAGCAGACCAGCTCCCGCTGCTGCTGAGATCATTTTCATCCCAAGTAACTACTTAGGAAACAACTAAAAAGTTATATAAAAAGGAAAAAGAAGAAATGAGAGCCTTAAAAATTGTAATATTAGTGAATCATCCTAACAACTGAATTTAGCACATTCTAACTTTGCAGTTTCTCCTGAAGTCTGAAAAAAATTGTATTCTTTCCAGTAGTTTAATTCCAACTATAGCACAAGAAGATAACGTATACATAAATACTCACAAAGCCAAAAGCCTTTATATTTTCTTTAAGTAGATCTGTTAAGTAATTTCAACAAGTGTAAAAAAACATTTACAAATTAATTCTAAAATATCTACATTGCTCAATATAAAGAACATCTGAAGTCACTGAAAATTCGTATCTCTTTGTGTAAGAAAAGAAATGTCTCAACCACAGACTGTTCAACACTAAGAATGCATTCTCTCAACATTCTTACTATATCAATATTTATCTTCTTCATTGGCTATGTCCTTTTTAATCCAAAGTAAATTCACACAACTGTTCCTATCTTACATCTTAAGATTTCTGATTTTAAATCATAATTACATGTTTGTGTGTTTCATTCTTCCCTTCAAGTACAAAAACTCAATGCGATAGTTAAGAGGTATATATGCTTCAAAAGGAGAATACAAAAAGAAAGAAAATGCCTACTCATTGATAACACCAGTGTGCCATACCTTCTGAAACTACTAGTAACAGTAATCAAAAGAATCATCCATTAGAAGGCAGTACCAACTTATTTCACTAGCTCCCCTTAGCACAGATTCCACTGTTGTAAAATGGTCTTCATAGCTTTCATGACATGGCATTAATTCATTAAGGAGATATCACATCACTTAGTAATCAATGTCACGCTTGAGAATTACAACTCCTTTTTACAAAATATTTCAAGGCAATAATGCACTCTTATGAACGAACAATTAAGACTGCTTGGCACAACAAAAAACTTACATAAGCCCTTTTAAATTTCACACTACAAGTTTTCAGAATTTAAGCTCATGAATGTTCTGCACAATAGGCACGTTTGCACTGTATATTATACAACTTTGAGGATGAATACAGACAACAACACTGAAGCTAGCAAGAATTAAAATACCCTTTTATACTTTGCAACAAAGCGTGACTTCTGTTGCAGTGCACAGGGAAGCAGCAACTGATGAAGCAAATGCCACCTGCCTTCATAAACAAACTTACTATCTGGAATCAGCCTAGAAAACACTGGCATCCCAGCACTACCTCTGAAACAGAAGTTGGAGACATAGTTGTTCTACTTGAAGTCTGCAGCTTTCTTCCAAAGGGAGTCTGTGCTGTGACCCATCTGCGACATGTTACGCAGGAGTAGCAAAGGCTACAGAAGTGCCTAGGCTGAAATCTTCTGGAGACAGGAATAGGAAGTTAATAGAATGTTCCTGCAGCTGTTGAAATCTCATGCCCCCAGAATCATCTGTTCTAGCACTTGACCATGGTAGTTAACAGAACTGCTGAGCCATGATAGCTAGAAGTCAGAGCCAAAAACAAACCTCTGCAAAAGACTGCTCTTGACATGTAGTTGTATGAAAGAGAGCAATCACCACAAATGGGAAAAAAATCAAAATGGACAACATTTGGATAGCTGCCCTGGTCACTTAAAAACCCAGATGGAACTCATCTAGACTTAGGCAGGGGACAGGGATGGAGAAAAAGGCAAGGGAGAGAATACGCACAAGCTGGAACACATCTGAGGAAGGGAAAGGCGAGCAGAATGATCACCAGTTAGCCTAAGGACAAGGGTCTGCAGCCAATACATTCTTGCAGTGATCACATATGGCCACTCACCAGGGATCTGGAACAGCTGGACTAGTGATCTGACTATACCATAACACACGCCGTTATCTTGTTTTCATAGTAGGAAAAAAAAAAGTACTTCAAATTCAGAAAAACAGGCTTTTAGCTAATTTGGTCAATTAAATTAATTCCATCTATGAATTCTTAGTAGAAGGGATGTTTTAAAAACCTATTTTTTTCTCCTCAATACAGCATCGATGACATAGATATGCTGATTTCATGCATTTCTAAGGGACACTTCAGATTAGCAATTAAAAGTTTAGATAAGCTCTCTTAATAAACTACTCTCACAGCTATCTTTTCATAAACAATAAAAAAGCATCACCGCATATCTCCTAAAGGGAAATATCATATGATTTCTATAGATACTACAAGAATCTTGGAAACAGTGTCAGACTATTCCTTTTATTCATTTTCTTAGTAATTGTAAACAAACTTTTAAGAGGAATCTGCTTATTTTCTCAAGATGGAAGTTTCACTCTTCAATACGATTTTGAGAGCATCATATGACACCCAAGTTAAACAAAGCATGTGAACACTTCCTCAAGCAGAAATCTGCAACCCAAAGATCATCTGGATACCAGCTAATTGGGAACTCAGAGATCAGCTGCCCTCTGTGAAAATCCAGTTATCAATTCAAGGTTCATCTGTGAAACTGAACTGCACACGGGAAAGTTTTGCTTCTTTACTGAATCTTTCTGCCCTGTAGGACGAGCCATCAAGCTATCTGATCATTCACAACTTTTGACAAACTGTCAGCATCATGTTTTAAAGACACTTTTGCTCGCTGTCACTGCAATGAAAACCTTAGCTGTGTTTAGTAAAAACAGGCTTATGACATGAGCTGAAGCAAAAGTTGCTAAAAGAAATCTGATGTAAGAAATATAAAGAGCAGCTATTAGATGGGCACACCTTCATTTCCTCCACAGCTATTCTCAAGTCTTGCTGATTAACAAAGTATCAATCAAAATTCAAATAAAAATTGGAAGTTTATGGAAGATTCCATGAACTTGCCAGCTGAAGAATGTAAGCAGTAAGTGGATGAAAGCTACTCCAGAACAGAAGCCTGCGTTGCATAACTCAGAAGACATCAAATTCATCAGAAACAGCCAAGCAAAATACAGAAGACATGCAGGTTACAACTGCACTGGCGTCATAACCACAGTAGGATCATAAAGACAGGTCTCTTTTTTCCTCATTGCAAGTGAAATACCAGCTGCTGATTTCAAGTCCCTTCGTAATAACCTAGCCTGGATGCATTAAGCAACAATTCAACAAGTCAGTTGCATGTGAATTCTTCCCCCGTTTTAATTACTAAGTGCTCCTAGGATGTCTTTACTGAAATCAGGCACAGATTGAAATTCACTTAAATTCTGTTTGAGCCCCTCTAAGATGGATTCTGCTTAATATACTAGACAAGAAAGGCTCAGCCTAACCCCACCAACATAATTAATGAACATCCTGACACAGCACACACAACAGTGACAACAGCAATCAACACTTCTGTTATCAGCACTATCCACCCTCCAGCAGCTGAATAACATTCTATCAACTAATAAAAGCTGAGTCTATTAAATCAAACCTTGTCAGTGCAATACTCCATTTCCAAAGCCACAAAGCAGCTGGTCTGTACCATTTCTACCACTTCAAGGAACAGAAACATAAAAAATAAAAAAATAAAAAAACAGAAATTACTGAATTTTCTGAACTGTTTTACGCACCTTGTCCTTGAAGATATGTGGATTTTGATAGATGAAGTCACGATAGCTTTCTGTACGCACTTTATCCTATGATTTAAAAAAAAACAACCCACACAATGTTTACTTGGCTTATTTGTATACAAGATACAGTTCAAACATGCTGAGCAACTGGCTTTTAACCTGACCTACAGATGTTTTGTTGCTGCTACACCTATAAGGATTCTGCAACAATGAAGTTCTGTACTGCAACCCTTTAAAATTTATTGCCTAAGCAAATCAAGTCAGCTGAACCTCTACAAGTGAAGGAAAAAAAAAATAGCAAAAACAAACATACAAAAAAGACAACTTACACCATACTGACATTCTATGTTTGATTTTTGGATGCTTTAAAGTTCCTAACGAGCATCTAACCGAGCATTTATAGTATCTTAGTGTATGAAAGCTGATGGCGTAGCTCAATCTGCCAGAATGGTGATATATTAATTCATTTAATGTGCATCAGCCAGTACACAAATTTACAGCTAGGAGTCAGTTTTGGAATTGCTGTTGTAAGTCAGATGTTAGAACAATGCAAATGAAAGCCTTACAAAAGTGATCTTTATCTAAGACATTTGGCCTAGAAATAATACTAAAGTAGAAAAATAATCATGAGTACATTCTTCTACTATGGCAGATAATTTTCAGAAAAAATATTTAAATTAAATAAATTTTCTCTAGTGAGAAGTATTTTATTAGGAAAAAAAAGATTGGGGTGAGAACAAAAGGTATATTCATAAAAATTATTTAGACAAACTAAGCTATACTCAGTCTTGAAAACCCTAGAATCCAGGTAAGGTTACAAAGCATCATCTCACATACAGCCCAAACAGTGTAGAAAATTGTATTTTAAAAGTACACAACTATGAATAAAAAAGTGAATCCTTTAAAATTATATTTTATTACTGTAATATTACATTGAGAAAAAATATTTCAACAATAACTATTTTTACTAGTTCATTTCTATCACACTATTTGCTGAAACAACCAAAACAGAATGAAAAAAAGGGTTCAACATCAATCAGTAATGCAGTCAGCTGCAAAGCTTTCAGCTTTACATCCTGCCCACTGACACTGCCTCAGCACTGCCCCAGCTTAATCAATACAACGCAAGATCCTGTGTCTCCTATATGCATTACTGGCTTGAGTAAGCCACAGTCATTCACTTTCAGGTCTCTCTACTTACGAATTACTTTCACTCCCCATTGCCATGTCACACTTTTCTTTTTTTTAAATAAAGTGGAAAGAAATTTCACTCAGATTACTATACAAAACATTCTCAAGAAAAAAAAAATAAAAGGAAAGGAAAGTGACTGGGCATTTCACTGCAGAAAAGCAGCAGTTATCTTTCCTGTATTTGAAATGAGTGCTGTAAAAGAAACAAACCAACTTTGTGCTGTCACTACTAAGAATAAAGAAAAAAGGTTTCAAAACAGAGTGTTGTCAGACAAAATGCAGACAGCCTCCTTCCTTCAAACGTAGCGAGTTACTGGACAATTTAAATAAGGCTGATGCACCAAAACCTAAGTAAACATCAGGCACACAGCAAAACATTCAATTTATACATGGTAAAGATCAACCTTTTCCTGTTTAGAAAAGAAGTCAGAATTCTGAAAGGCATCCTGACAAACACTCCCTGAAATCAACAGAATATGATTTTCTAAAATCGATCCTCTGCAGAGATGCAGAATTACTAAGAACTTCAGTAGCAAAGGCTTCCCCATCCATTCCTGTGACATCTCAAACACTTGTCTTAATTTTTAATGTAACTGACTGCCAAACCCAACTTCTATTATTTATCTTCAAGATTTTGATCCTATTTCCCTAGCTTATGCATTCTGGAGAACATCCCTCCACCTCTGCAGCAGTGCTTTGTCTCTCCACAGCACTCCCTCCCCTTCATAACCTACCTCATACTTACACTATTCTTAATACAGATCCATGAGTGTTTCTACAGTGGGGCCACTAACTGATCTCCAACACAGAAGGATACACATACTACCTGTAAGGACTAAGGTACTTCACAAGTGCATATTTTATCCATACAGGCAGGAAAGAATTTTATTTATGCCATAAAACAGTAAATCTGCTTACAACACTCTTAATCGTGACTTTTTCTATGAAAGGAAGCATTAAGGGATGTTGGTTTGCATGCCAATTATAACATTATTTTCTTTTTTGAAGTTAAAAGGGCATTACAGGTTTCCCTTTGAACAATTCTGACTATTTTATATCATCTTTATTATATAAGAGGTGCACATAATTTTTCCAGCTGTTCAGTGTTCTATTATCAGTATGCTGGATGGTGCACAAATACCTAGTTTCAGTTTACAATATTTCTACAATACTACAATAAGGCAAACTCCAATTGTTCAGAAAATATAAACTTAGAAAAATTCATTGTCTGTACCACATTATTTCATTTCTCTTTTAAGCCTACACGAAAAGCTGCTTCTGCCAAGGTAGAGTTGTGGTATGGAAAACACAACATTTCAAAACACGTATCTGTAGTGAATGATTCTGTGCACCTAGTACTTCCTGTACAGTAAACAGAACTTACACAAAAGGAATAAAATTGAAAATAGGAACTCAACTAATCTCCAAAGGATAAAAATATTTTGCATAGAAAGGGTTAAAAATGCAGCTGCTCTGCAGTATATTTACAGGCACACAGCCCACTTCATTCCATCTCTCCTCTTTAGTCCTACTAAGATGCAGTTGAGATCACTTTCTAACCTTCAGCATCTCTTCGTGTATCCCATAATGCCCATAGGAGCTGAAGTAAACGCCATCCTCATCCTCATGAAGGTCTGCAATGGTGTTGGATGACGAGCTGCTTCCGACATCGTTCATCACGAAATCCTGTGCAAATTGTCTGTAATCAATTTGAAATATACTCTTGAGATATGCTTATGAGAGCACGACCAGGAGGTGGGGGCAGGAGCTTGAAAGAGAAGGAATCCAGACTGCCCAGGGGTTTCTACAGCAATGGGTCTGGCATAGACTTCAAATGTGCACAATCTCCCTCTGCTGGCGTCTGGAAGCTGCTGCATGACGATCCAGCACTTGGTGCATTACCCTTCAGCATTTCTCTCTGACTTGAAGCAGTAAACATCAGCACTGAAACACTCACTGTATTTATCTATGTGCCCGTCACAATTCGTAGTTAATTTCTACTTTTATATAGGAATCATCTGTTCTGCACTTGCTGGTCTAGTACAAAAGCTAGAGCCACAGTGGTAAACATCCACAGGGCAACAACAGAGGTCATGTCGTGTCACGTAGATACGGACTCAGTAAACAAGCAGTACTGAAGAATCATTCAGCACACATCACTGAATAACTCGTGGACAGCTAAAGAAAGAACTTCAAAGCTGAAGTATTAGGGCGGAACCAACTTCGTCATAAACGACTGCAGAGCCTGGCAAGCCTGGAGAAACATTTCCACAGATATTACATTATACTCATTTAGCTGGCCCTCCCATATTCTCACACTCATAAGGCAACATTTTCCAGGGAGTTGCATGACTGATCCTCAACAGACAGTCATTAAAACACCTAACATTTTTTCCCAATTCTAGAGAGAAAAATCTGCATAATATAAACACTGAGACAAATTACAGTTGCATAATCTCCCAAGAAGTCTCTGCAGACAGGTAAAGCACGAGAAAGCTCCTTCATCTAGCTTTTATATTCCAGAAGTTCAGGTCAATGAACCAGCCTTCTAAATACTGGCATAAACCAATTTCAATGACCAAAGACAAGAGAAAAAAACAGGCTGCTGTAGCTTAAGGTCCCTTAAATTAATTTCCACTTCACATTTGACTTCTGAGCTACTTTAATCGCACTGAGGGAAGCCCTATGCTGTCTACCTGAAAGAAAACACCTGTACACAGTCATAAATAACAGTACAAACCAGTATCACTACAAACTACAGCACACAGGCCACTACAATGTAGCTGGTTAATCTGTCCATAATTTCAAAGCAGTCTGCTTCATCACATCTACAACTGGCTACTTTTCCTGCTGGTTGATCCCTTCTGAATTGGAAAAACCTACACTGAAAAAGAGCAGTTAAAGGGTCCCGCTTATACCAAGGGGTAGCTTGATGAACAAGCCTAAAATATGTAAGGCTGAATGAATCTTAGAGAGCTGAAAAGAAATTGCAAGAGAAGACCTGAAATTCTTAGAACAAAACTGCCCATTTTGCCATAGTTGTTGGGATTTGAAGGAGAGTATGAATTGAGTTCAGTCAACCCAGTTTTTCAGTGCCTTATCACTGCAGTTATCATCTTGAAATGATATTTCCATACAGCATTGAATCTCATGTGTTCTCTAAAGAAACTTAAATTCCTGTTTTTATGCATATGCATCATTAACCTGCATTCTGAAGACCTCAAGATTTACAAGCATGACGTACAGCTGTTGAAGGAACTGGATTCCACTTAAAAATAAACGGGGAAGGGGAAAACTGAATCAGCACAAAAATCTCTCTCAAGATGCTCCAAGTCCTGTAATTCAGACTACCTCTTCACCACTGCATACATCTTCAACACTTAATTCATATTTAAAGGACTACTGGAAAAGTGTTTGAAAAACAGAGTGGTCTGAAGAAAAGTACATGTTTCTGTGTGTTTACTCAGCCTTCCTAACCATGCTTTGTTTACACAGTTTTTACAATTTCACTGATCATCGAGAAAAATTAAACCACACAAAATTTCCAACACAAGATATGAGTTCTATTCCACTGTTACACTCTACTACTTCTTACAAATCCTATTGGTCTTAGAAACTGTTCTATCTTGTCTAAAACACATCAGATAAAAAAACCTCAGCTAAAGCACTTACCTCATTTTCTGAAGATCATCTTGTGCTCTAGCGAAGGCTGCTTCAGCAAGTCTTGCTCTGTCTTCTGCATGCTTTAATTGTTTAAGGAGCACCGAGGTATCATTTAAGCCATTAGAACACAAAATGTCTGTGGGTTCACATAGGTCTTCTGTATCTGTTGAAACAAAAAGGAGGAAAAACCATAAAACTGCTTATAAACATAATACTCAACCAATACTGCTATTTCTGTTTCTTGTAGGCAATAACATCGCTGAATTTGAGAGAGCCAGCTGCAGAAACTCAATAAAAGCAAGATGCAAAAAGTGAACTCAAACTTAGCAAAACAAGTACATCCTGAGCTGAGACTTCTTTAAAAAAGTTATCAGCGGTTCAAAGGACAATGCCAGCACATTTCCAGGGGTGTTAAGAAGCAACTGCAGCTTGTCAGGATAACGACTTCACTAACAAAAATAAATAAATAAATAAACCATAACTATGTTTATTACATTTAATGATAGCAGACCAACTACTTGTTCCTCAAGCACAAAGAGATACTTAAAGTACAAATTGGAGATGTTCAGATAATCCATAACCATCAGCAAACCGCAAAGGCAGTTGAAAGAACCACACATCCCAGAATCCTGTAACTTGCACAAAGAGCACACACAGGACAGGCTTATAACCAGTGAAACGTATACTAAATACATGCTCAAGCACTATAGCACCCTGCGCCATCCCTCCGTGTGCTAGCAATAGCTGGAGTTGTTTAGAAACAGACAGTACTGAGTGGGAAAGCTCCAGTAGAGTTTAAATATCTCATAGTTCAGGTCAAAGATACCCAATCAAGTGCCAAATAAGCCAGTAGGAGGTTTGTGGGCTGCTAAAGGATGTTCTGAAGTCAAACTGTATTCCTAAGGATTTCTAGCAAACAGACTGTCAGAACCACTAGAAAGCCTAACTCTCATCTTACACTCCCTTTATCCAATGACAATCCATATAAAAGATGAAGGAATTTTCAACACAACTAATTCCTTGCTCTGTTCTTCTACTGTGGATTTTTTTTTATTGAAGTCACCCAGTTTTAAGCGCCTATGTTTAGGAGGTTTATAAATCTCATAGAAGCCTCACTGAAATACAGGTGTAATACCCCTTTCATCTGCTTAATTACTACACATGGCAACTAAGAACATATTTAATGTAAGTGAATGCATATAATAAACAAGGCTACAGAAATCCCAGCCATTAAAACTAATTGACAATATGTGGTAGAAATATCAGAGAATGATGTAACATCCTGACTTAAACTATTACATGGACCTTCTTAAGCATACTAAAATTAATTTCAGTACAGGAAGGGTTACTTTGCATGATGCAAACATCACATTTACCTCAAGATACAATACATTCAATTCTAAAATACAATCTCTTACCAAACTGAAGCAGGAGATCATCTTCCAGCTCTGGTTTCAGATAGTCCTCTCCATCCCAAGGCAGCGGGCTGCTGAGTGAATTCAAATAAGCTGGCATAGGTTTCTAAAGGAAAGAAGAACAGCATGCAGGCTAAGCTCCTTTGAAAAAACAAACCATTCAAGTCCATTCAAGACAAAAAAGCAAAGGCCTTTTCTTCCACCCATTAAAATAAATGTGACATTTCCAAAGCAGCTTTATGGCAAGGGCTATGACAAATACTGTTTTAAAGCACAAGCAGCAACAGTAAAGAAATTAAGTTCTGTCTTCCATCCTAGCTCTGACAGCACATATCCAAAATAGCATACTAACATTACAACCATGGTGACCATAGAACAACACAAAAATACATCTAGAAGCTAGACTGGCAGCAAAACCCAGGATTGTGGAACCCAGTACAAGCAGCAAAGCATAGGAGACTGACAGATGTCAAAAGGTATCTTTAGGATTGCACTGCTGCCAGGAATCAAGTTTACTCAGGTGTTCAGCTTTGTCAGGCTCACAGCTTACAACAGGGCTAATCTGTAAAGCCAAGATCCTAATTGTGCAAAGTCTTTCAACGTGCACAGTGTTTTGGGGATCAATTTCAGAAACGCTACATTCTCTCCCACTTGCATAATTAATAGGAATTAATTCCTTTCCTTAGGAAAAGGAGAGGTCAGATTCTGGACCAGTTTTTTCGTTTAAATGATTTACTGTGAATAGTTAGTTATGCTTTAAATAACCATCCAAGGATTTAAGTAAAGACTTGAAAATTTCATTTAAAAAAACTTCAGTTGTGCAAAATGTTCTTCCTTATAAACGTAAACATCCTCAGAACAACCAAAGAACCCATATTCAAGTCAACACAAACACAAAAGCTAGTCAAGCCTAACTTAAAACCGTAGGTGCCCAACAGCTTTTCTTGCTATTTTTTGCAAAGCTTAATTCTACATTCTGAGACCTAAGTTTCCTTGCGCTGCAGCAGAGTTCTACCTGGCTCACATTCCCACGAAAGCCTTTTTTGCACGCTTGTTAACCAAGAAACTTCTGTCACTGTGAAGTGACCCCAATACTAGCGCCAGACCTCCAAGTCAGAGGCCAAGACGAAGTAACAAAATAGTATCACAGAACACAGCACCAGCTTTTTGCAAGTATAAAATTTATCTCATAGAAACAACAGAAGTCACATTAAATAAACACATCTGAAATTAAAACAACTTCATAGTTAAAATGCTCACATCTAAATAAACCAATCAATGGCTACGAAATTCTTACTTCTACAAGTGTCATCCTAGTTTCCATACAGTTATTTTTAAAAGAACATTGAAAGCATAGTGTCTTGATTACACATTCTCCAGACATCATCTACAGAAATATTACATAGCACACTTACCTTCAGCCTGACAAAGTTTATTAGTTTAATGTATCCATAAAAATCAAGTCCTGGAAAGAAAAAAAAAAAAAAAAGCAGAGACAGCTTGTGTTACTGAAAATCCACATTTTACAGTGATAAGATTAGTAATTACCTGTTCAGTCAGCCAGCTTCCCCTTAGGGTGTACATCATCACCCAGTACAGTTTTCCTATCTTAGACATGCCATCTACAATTCTGCTCTTTTTAGGTTCAAACTATGAAATCCTCACCTTTAGTACAGATACTTTTACCACATGTCAAGAAAAAAAAACATGCCAACTCATCTCACAAGTATTTCCTTCATTTAGCAAGCAACGTACATTGGAACAGCCATATTTATCTCCTACCAGGCCATCTTGCTGATATTTTAGACTGCTGTGCTCCTTGTTATACTTTTCAGCTTTCTGCTTAAAAACAAACAAACAGGTAAATTGATCCTACTAATCAAGAACACACACTTATACTAATTTAAAACCTCAGCCTAACTCAAAAAGATCAAGTTACTGTAATTATGTACTTTCCTCAAGAGCAGAGAGGATGCCACATAAACCCAAAATATCTTCTATTGGGTTTTAGACTGAAAGCAGACCAGGTGTAAGTATTTCACACGCAGATTTCTAAACACTTCATGTAGTTCCCAACCCTTCTTCTCTCCCATTTTTCATACACACTCCCAAAACACTGTTTCTCCAATCCTCTTTCTCTTTCCTCTGTTGCCTAGGTTTTCCTCTACCAGCAGTAGGATGTGAATTTGAGGTTCAGCAGTTCAACACTTAACTGTTCCAAAGCACACCCCTTAGCTTCATGTGCATCCTCCTGTATGTTCTTTCCTTTAGTCACCATCTTGGCCTAAATGCACGGGAGTCTTAAGCAGAAATTAACCTTAAAAAAAATCATCATTAGATTTTTGGTTCTCCAGTGATAAGTCCAGACATCACATAGCAACTTGCAAGACAGGTGACTAGCTCAACCCTATTCATGGCCATGCACACTTAGCACAGTGCTTGAGGAGACAAAGCAGACAGCAGAGACTCAGAGCGAGCCAGCAGAGATCTACTAACCAAAGAGAGCCTGATAAGAGCTCTCTCAGTAAAGAAAACATGCAGGTAACAACGAGCATGAATATAGGATATAGCAATATCTATCACCAACATGAAATCCATCAAGCTGATCTTCACAACTTGTTTTTAACAGACAACAATACATAGGTAGTTATTAGTCAGGGTCAGCACCTACCGTGTTTTCTGACCACATCACGAACATTAAACTGATGCTCCGCGTTACAATGGCAGAACACATCTTCGGGGCTGCAGAACCACCTGTAAGCAGACAGTTACTGAGTACACAGCACTCAAACACCATAACGTGGGATCTGTAACGCACGCAGCTTACACTGCTGCATTCCGACACACGGGCATAACACGGCAGAGCCAGAGACAACCTGAGGGCTGGGAGCCCCACCTGCTGCACGCCTGCCCTTTTCCTGAGAAGCCCGGCCCTGGGGGCCGCTCACCTATCGCAGAAAAGGCAGCGGGCACGCAGCCCCTCGCCTGCTCTCCGCTCCTCCTCCTCTTCCTCCTCCCAGGCCTCCTCGCCGTCAGACAGCTCAGCCATCTCGTCGTCCCGCTCAGGCCCTGTGGGCACAGAGTTGGCAGCCGCCTCCTCTACCCGCGAGCCCATTCCCGCGCCTCGCTCCCGCGTGCGCCGCTTCCGGGCCGGCAGCGCGCCCCGCCCCGCCCCGCGCGTCAACGTGAGAGCGTGGCAGCGCGCACCCTGGCGGCGCCCTCCGGAAGCAGGAAGTTGCAGCTTTGCCGGCCGTTCTTTTTCAAAAGCGCGCGCGCGCGCGCCTCTGCGCCGCGAAAGGAGGGCGGCCAGGCGCCACCTGGCGGGCCGAGGCGGGAAATGCTTGCAACGAGCAGCGTCCGCCTGAGGGGAGGCTTAAATAGCGGGAACGGCAACTGCAAGCTGGCTTTTAAATAAAGTTTAGCAAGAGATTTTCAGGACTGCCAGCCAGGGTGAAAAGCAGAAAAATAAATACAAAAAATAAGATGGTTGGACACCACAACCTGTGGTGTCTGAGGAGCTGCTGTTTGCGTTCTGTTCTGAATGAAGGCTTTGTGCCTGTCAGTAGCTCCACGTGCACCAATCTGCCGTAGTGCTAGTAGAAATATTTCCAAACATAATGGAATTCCTGCTTTGGCTTCCTTTTAAAGCTAACAAGACTTCTAAATGCCATACTAACTCGACAGATTGGAGCTGCCTCAATTTTGCAGTTTCAGGCAAACCCAAAGGGACACGAGAAAATCCAAACACAGAAACTGATTTCGGATATGACCGGAATGACAGATTTTAAAAAGGAAAGTTGTTTCCGCAGCTATTGAATCACTCTCCTTCACAGCCTCTGTTTTCAAATTCCATTATCCATTGCTCCTTGTGGACACAGCAGTATACAGCAATTCTGCAAGTGCTGCTTCGTGGGGTAAAGCAGTGCTCCTGATGAAATTTGGTTTCCTTACAAAGTGATGCATCACTGCTCCTTGACTAGGAAGCAGTGCAAAACGCTGTTAAAAAGCACTGCATGCCCCCAAAGTGCAGAAGAAACCGAGGCAAGCCAGATGCTGCTACCCCCTCCTCCCAGAGTAGAATCTGATCCTAGGAAAGAAACTGGAGTGATGCAGGGTGAGAAAACACACTTTTCCATCTGATTCAAGCAGCTAATCACAGAAATAGATCCAACAGCCACTGTTGTGCAAGTAGTCCTTGGCTGATAGCAGCAAGGCAGGAACAGCAGCGTCTTTGTGCTTTCCTGAAATTCTCCCCCACTGAAGGGGCAAGGGGTCACTGATTGCATAGTCTTTGCTCCATTGCACACCCTCAGCTATTGTTGAGCCTACTCAGAGAGCAACAGACTGAATGTGCCGCCAAGGCTTGGAACTGAATCTTTTTTTATTATTATTTCCTTTAATTGCTTGGAGTAAGATTCTCAATAAATGTAAAGCACCTGTTCATCCAGAACAATGTCTGTAACTCATTGGGTGAAGACTGTATGAAGTCCTGCATCCAAAGCACACAGCTTACACCAGAACCTCTTGGAATATGATCATCTTTGTTACCATCTCCTAATCCTTATAAAGGGATTTGCATGGTACAGGAAGATTTACAATGTAATTACTATTCCATAATCCTGGCCAAGGGGAAGAAACTTCAAATATTTACGATTTTTTTGGACTGCATTTCAAACTTTTTTTCAGCTCTAGAAAGACAACACTGGGGAGGCCACCCAAGGGTGTTCACACACCAAATGCAGTGTCATCATATTGCTTGTAGGCCACGTACATTTATTCTCTACCCGTCACCACCATGCTTGCCATTATTCAAAAGCACAGAAAGTGTGTTAATGGAAACTGCTTGGAAAGCAAGTGAAACATTTTTGAGCAAACTATTACTAGGCTGCTATCACTTTACCTTGTGTAATGTACACTGGAGAAAAATAAAGAGAGAGAAAATGTAAATAAAAAAAAATATGTAGATAGATAGTAAACCCGATTGATTCCTAGTCAGTTGTATAGCTCTAAATTTACATAGCAGTGACGTTCTTCAGTTTTAACCACTCAAGGTCTCCAGCAGAACAGACAGTTACACAGAACCATGAAGATCAAGACTGAAAATAATGGCTTAGAAGCAGTGCTTACGTGGAAAGGCCCAAACATCTGAAAAGTTATCCCACACTCCCTTGGTGCTAAACCCATCCTGCTACATGTATGTGCTAGGAAAGATACTCCCAAAATCACATGTATGATGGCAATTACTATTTTATATCCAGTCCTCCCCTCCCAGTTTGTTGGACTTTTTATTAACGATGCAAACTCTCTGGAGCAAGCAGTCTTTGATCTACAGATCAAAGCACAAAAGCAGATCTGGCTTTTCCAATACTTTATGAGGCTTTTTTTTTTTTTTTTTTTTTCCCAATACCTTATGAGGTTTTTCCAGACTTTATGATGTCTAGCAACAAGGAGGTTCATACAACGTTGTCACTGCCCAACGTCACACAGCAATGTAAAGCACAGATGCAACAGCAGCAGTCAATGCAACAGAAAGAGGCCCAAAAACCTCATGCAAAAACCACAGGGGCATCGCTGCAAGTAAAGCATCATTAATGCCGGTGACAACCTTACACCTTTATTACCTCTCAGCTGAAGGGTGAGTTTAGACTGTGTTAATTAAGAGCGAAGAAAGATTCAGTTGAAGCATAAAACAGAAAATTTTAGTGCCAGTTAGCATACAGTGGGAAACAAGATGTGATATAGTGAATTGTAATAATAATAAAACTCCTTGTCTTCAGGGAAAGCCAGTAGTTTTGAAAGTGGGATCACAATCTGGATTTACATACTCAACTAGTCTTTAGAAATTTCATAATGATGGCTATATTCCCCTTACTTCCATACTGAGATAACGGGGCTGTGAGGCATTTTTTATCTGGGCAGACATCCCAGAGGACTCTGTGTAGGGCTCACGCTGATCATAGGGTGGGAATAGGATTGCCTTTGACAGAGAAAGCAAGCCTGTATATGCAGCTGGAGTGGGGCTGGAAAGGGGCTGCCGAAAGAAAGCGTGGGATACAAAAACCACCAATGTTACCAGTTTTTCCTCTGGGCAAGTGGCTGCTGGCTTTCTTTTCAGGCTCACCCTGGAATTATGGCTGGGTTATGTTACTAAATGTGGGACTCAGTATGTTGCATAGATAATTTTCATCAACCACTCCCCTTTCTTTCTCCATTTTCTCTTCATTTACAGTCAAGCAGCATTTCTCAACCTGTCAGAAAATCAAAGGCAATACAGGGCATCTCTTCCTATCCATCATACAGTCCCTTTGCAACTCAGGTGACAGCTTTTATCCTTACATTTGAATCTTGTCTCAAGGCACAGTTAGGTGAGACGATCCAACACACTTGTTTGCTCCCAGGCAAGGAGCCCTGCATCTTCTGCATCCGTTCCTGTGAGGAGTTGGTGCACTGACACATCTTGCTAACGTGGCAGACTGTGCTTGTGGAAGTGGCAAAGGGCAGTGCTCCTCTGCTGCAGAGCTGCTGCATTTAGGGGCAAACCTACAGTGCTGAAAAAGGAACTTAAAAAATGGAAATAATAAATTAAAAGGGCACTGATATTAAGAGAACCTAGAGCTTAGTGAGCTTAGTGCCTAGATTTTCACAGCTTGCTATTGGTAAAAGCTCACTTGAGAGGCAAGTAGAGGAAGAATGTGAAATTTTGTAGGTTACAGAGTAAGTAGTAGAGAGCAATGTAATGCAGTTGTATTTCTCGTGTCTTCCATGTATGCAGTGTAAGTGATTTGCCCTGAACATGTGTTAGCTTACAGCTCAGACCATTCTCTCTGTTACGGTGGATGCAACAAAAACACAATTATTTCTTTCTCCAGCTCCACTCTCCCTAATGTGTGGCTACCCCAGCAGTACGGGGAGCGATCCTGATGATCAGGAGAAGCTTAAGTGTGTCAGAGAAAGAGAAAGAAAATTAGAAAGTAGAATCAAGCATAGGATTAGATCTACCAAATCATTTTTGCTTTTTCAACAAAGATGCAAGAGAGTATGGATTGCACTGCATTTTTAATAAACAGGTTTCATAGCTCACTGGGCTCAATTCATTTAGTTATTTGCAGAAGAAATATGCTGTTTTACCTGTGTTTCCATCTCTGGAAAAATGACAGTGACTTCTACAGTGTTTTGACAACACAGTGATGGGGAGCATTATAGGAGTTCAAGGTTTCTCTCCTTGAAAAATTTTGAAAACACTTTGCAGAATACCAAAAAGTTTGGGAAAAGCATTCTCTCAGACAATCTAGCTGCCCTAAAAGCTTCTCTGAAGAAAGGCAGAAGACTGACTTAAACCTGCACAAATAGTGTAAGTAAACGGTAGCACAATGTAAAGGTGCTATCAAAGGATCTAAAAAATAAAAATAAATTGAGGAAACTGAGGTATCTGCTGCTAATCAAAGATACTAAGCAGCATCGATCTAGTATTTTGGGTTTTGTGCCAGCTTTTTCCAAGTTTAGGTTGTCTTTTGGCAGATTTTTGCCTCATTCTCAGTTCGTTTCACTGAACAAAACTAAAGAAAATGGAAATATCCTTCAGTAAAACAGCAAGTTCTTCTGACAACTATTAATATCCACTTTTTTAAAAAAGGTGCTTGTTTGAAGTTTTGTAAGTAGCAGCTATGTGTGTTAAACCTCCCATTCTTTGCATCAGCTTATTTTAAAAAAAAATAAACCAGCCAATCAGAAGTGCCTAGACTGACGCTGTCTCCCTCGGCTAATCCAAGGCCAGTAGAGGGATAATTTGATTAAACTGAGACCCCAATTTATTTAGCTTTAGTTCTGGATCAACCTCTCCTTAATAGAGTGCTGTCGTCTCCAATTGTTTGATGAAAATTAAAGTGACATAAATACCATGGGACTTTTTCAATCTGATTAGTCAGCTAACTTGCATCAATACTGCCCCAGCCATCAGGCGCTGGCGTCCTTCCTTTCACCAGCCTCACTAACAACTGACAAGTTCTCCTTGAAGAACGGGCACCCACGCTGCCACTCAGACCCCCACACTTAACCCATCATCCGTCCTCAATGGCTCTTGTTTGACAAGGTGCCCACACCTTTTTCCATTGCCGTTCATCAAACAAAGCTAAATATTGTTTTATTAGCAATCAATAGCCTGTTAATCCCAAACGATTTCACAAATCCACTGAGCTCCCAAGCTGATTATAAACGTTTGGTGGGGGTTTTTTTGTTTTGTTTTGTTGCGGTTTTTTTTAAAGCTGCTAAATTTCAGATGG